GTTTGCTCGGATGAGAGGCCTGGCTTGGCTGCTGTGGGAGGGGGGGGGGCATACTATGGGGGGTGGGGGGGGGGGGCAACTGACGCGGCGACACGGGACCATATATTTATTTATTTATTTATCTCCGGCATCTTTTTCCCGATTGTATTATCTGTAAAGTTGGTCCGATAAGAAAGGCATCAGAACGAACGATACTCTCTGCGAGAGAAAATGGTTGCATTAGCACGGCAGATGTTCTTGCCGATCCTTCTTCGGCACGGATGGAACCAACTAAAGAGAGGCTTTCGCAAGAGACTAAAAGTCGTGCAGATTTCCAGCAAGACCGCGCATGTAGAATGGACCTCAAGCCTCTGCCCCGAGATTGAGCTACAAACGGCGCGCTTGGCGTGCCGAATCTGGAAACCAACGACTAGCAGCGGGTTCAGATTTCGACTTGAGACAGGAGCAAACCCTGACAGCCAAACTGGAGAAAGAAACACGATAAGTCTTCTGGGCACGGCATGGAATGCGGCATGCCAAGGTACAGAAACCGCACACCAAACAAGCCTCAGACTTTCTCTACGAGACTCAAGCAGAATTCATCAAGCGTCTGAAAGCCCGCCGATGATAGTCGAGGTACATTGCTTAGACATATTCAAGATTCTGTGGCCGCAAGGGTAGAACGAAAAGACCCCGAGTGCAGGGCCTCAGAAGGACTCGAAGGTCTCAGGGACCAGGAGCTCGTCCCACGACAAGCCTGTCTGCTCTGCACGTCGGCTGCCTTCCAGCCTTCCAAAGCGCTCATCTGAGTTCTCTTAACTTAAGTCTGGCGAAACCGCTGCAACGCCCTCTCTTATTGATGTGAGGCATAGCATCCGACCGGTCACACTGATCAAATTAGGGTCCTGTAGAATTGTCTTTGGAGGCCACATTCAGCGAGCTTCCGTGAATTTCTGGCAGCTGCTTCGAAGTGGTTAAAGACCCAAAATGTCCCAAAATGCAAATTCCGGTGGCAACCTTGACTTGCACCATCCTGCAGTCCCTCGCCTGTCCGAGCGACCCGGTGTGGAGAAGCTCCGCCGGGGGCCTGGCATCTCCCGAGACCTTCGTCGCAAGCCGAGGGCATCTAAGCCGAAACTACGGAGGCCAGCGGTGCAGCAGAGCCCGCAGAGCCCGCAGAGCCCGCAGGGCGGCGCTGGGGCCCGAGCAGGGGCAGCAGCTGCTCCTTGGCCAAACCGAAGCGCGGGGCCTGTGTGGCCGTGCCTGCTGCGAGTTGCCGAGATTGGAACATTTCAACTGTCCTAAGCTTCTCAGAAAATCTGGCCGAATCTGGCCCAGCAGGCTAAAGTGATGCCCGGGCCCCGGGCAAGCAATCGCGTTGATGCGCTGGAAGAGAATCGGAACCTTGCATATCTGAATCTGGGAATCTTACAGTCTTAAGAAAACCCGGCAGGTCCGATGCAGACAGCCTCGCTCGGCATCAGAATTAGGACGTTTAACCACCCGAGAACCGAGTGAGTAGCTCTCTCCTCCGGGGCGTTGCAAACCTGACAAGCAGAGACGCTACAAGTCGGGGTCTTCGAGAATTTGCGTGCCGCCCTCAGAGTTTGGTGGGCGTGCAGCAAGTGATTGCGATTTGCTCATGATTTGTGGGCACGGCAGTTACGCAAGTTTGAGCACGCCAGACAATGCAGGCTCCTCCCTGCGAAGAAGTTGCCGCGTGCTGGGCATGGCGGTGCATAGTTTCGGCAGCGATCTCTGAAAGGAAAGAACACTGCGAAAAGGTCTTTGCTGGCACCCCCCCCAACAAAAAATACAGCGGGGGTTCTGGAACTAGAACTTATTCTCCATATCAGCATCGATCCCAAGCCTTCACTTCATGTCTGGCTCCTGGAAGCAGGGCTTTGGCTGGTGTCACCCGTTAGATATGCTGGCGGTCAGCATGGAAGGTGAATCGCAAGCATCTGCACAACACGTCGACGCAGTCCCCAAACTTGCCTGGCTCGTGTGGGTCTTGTTTGCCAACATGAGGAGGAAGAGTGGGAAGCCTTCCACCAGCAGCTTCTCCTCGGCCTTGGGTCGAAAAAACCCAAGGGTGTCTCAGGAAAGCGAAGTCTCAAGGCCCAAGCCGCTCGAAAGTTGCTCGTGTGCTGGCAGGCATCCTTGGAGCCCCAAGAAGTTTCGCAAGCCGACACTCGCTGAGCTCAGCTGTGGCTCGGCCTGGCCTGGAACATGCGCTGCAAGGGGAGGTTGCTAACCTCCGGCCAGCGAATCTACGGATCTGCGGCCTACCCCATCCAACACCCGCGAATTGCCTCGGCTAGGAAGTCGAAGTCGATGGCGAACCTGTGAACACATGATATGTGCACGGCAGATGAAAGCGGCTGAACGACCTCGTCACGGAGTCGGAGTTCCAATGTGGCCTGTCGGCCGCGTTGCGTTATGTTTCTGATGCAGTCGCTCTTCGGGCTCCGTAGACAACATGCCTGGGAAGGCTTAAGTACCTGCATTTTGCTCCGCAGTCCTATGAGTTGTCATTGCCTCGCTGGGCAATCGATGCACGCGCCTCCGTGCCGTGGGCTCCGTGGCATAGCAGGCGAAGAGCTGCGGATGTCAGGCTGGGGGGGATTTTCGGGTCTTATGAGTTCTTTGCATGTTTCTTGCGGGGTTTGTCCAGCCAGCAGTTCGTGTTCGGCCGATTTCCAAAACAGATTTCGTGGAGCTTAGCGCATTGCAGCGATTTGCCCTCTACTTTCCTGATGCGACGGCATAGTGTAGTTCTCGGCCTTGTTCAGACCAGTGCTGCAGTCGGTCATCAACCTTTCAGCACGCTGCTGGCTAGCGTGACATGCAGCAGCTGAACGTCTACATATGAGTTGCGCAACCGTTTCGAAGTAGCAACAATGAAAGTTACCATGCAATCCTGTGGCACACATTGCACACAACCTCCGTTGCAAACAGTTGACCTGCCTCTTCACCTCTGCCTTGTCAAGGACGTCAAGTGCACACACCAGCTCCTGGACAGACTGCGAAGAGGCGGACCGACAGCAAGAAGTGCAGCAGAATCGGGCTTCTCCTCGCTCCGACTTCTAAGAAGCACTCCGTTGAGGGGCACGATGACCTGTAGCACAAATCCTACCGTTTAGCCGACAGGCGTGTTATGCACGAGACTCGACAGCTTTACAGCACACCTGCACACATCTTGGGAACTGGGTAGGGATCAGGCACGCCGACAGAAGTTCTCCAAGCCACCAGACACCTGGTGTGTAAGCTGTCGTTCCCGCCCCTCAAGTTCGGAAACCCATTAAGCTGCATTGGGTCATGAGGTCTCTTGTCAAATTGCATAGGCTCAGAGGCTAGACAGCTAGACTCGACAATGACAGGCCCCGCGCTGCAGTCATCGACAAACGCGCCGGCAAGACATCCTCAGGAGCCATGCACTGTGCTGCCACCTGAGCAGCGTGAGGAGTTGAGAGCATCAAGACATTGGTCTCTTCAGAGCCTCGAAAACGATCTGTCTGCGACAGCTAAGAGGTCTGGTTGACAGACGTGGCTGGGTTATCGCTGCCAGGGCGCGTCGGAAAGCGCTTTCGTGAAGCTTTCAACCTTCCCAAGCTGCACCCGCAAGCAAATGCTTTTTGTTGACTCTCTCACGGCCTGATCAGACGAAAGCTGTACAGGATTTGAGGCCGAGGCGGTCATGAGACGCTTGGAGCCGCCCCCGGCCTGTCACGCACAGGCCCATGGAATCTGCGACGGCTCTGAAGACCTCTGAGGAGTCTGCAGAAAGGCTTCTGCGACACTGGCGTGTGCAGACCACATACTACTTGTAAGAAGCACGTTGCAGTGAAACCACGACTGCTCTTTCAACCCGTCAACAACTGACGTCCGACGGTAGCAGACCTTCGGCCTTGCTACGGCCCGGGCAGGCGGAGACGCTTCGCAAGTCCAATAATTCCTCCAAAAGTCGTTCTTTGAGTGTGTGTGTGTGTGTGTGCCGCCTGCTCGAGGTTGCCGTCGGTGAAACCATTCGGGCTGGAACTACAGCGTGCACGACAACCCGGAAATCCTCAGAGCTCCTTGATATCTTGTCATTGATGGGTATCAGCAACACCTTGCTGCACTTGTGACTTGCCTGTCTTCGGATTCTCGGGTCGCGAAGTATGAGTATGACTAGGCTCAGGCACCTGGCACAATGCTACGCCAAGGCAAAAGATGCCCCATGTCACCTACATCCCTGCGCGGCATACGCAGCTCGCAAGTCGGCAGCTTCGGTCGACCTGATCCTAACAGCCAATGGCTGCTACTGAAGGACAGGCTCTGGCTGATCCTTCCGCATCTGCGGCGTGGAGCTGTTCCCGCCACTGCCCGACTCAGCGACTTCGGGCTACGTCAGCCGCAGAGTCATGATGAGCCTCCCGATGGAAGAGGCTGCAACGACACAGTTTGCCAGACGCTACAAGAGTTGCATGCCATGCTTTGTCGACGAAGCCATGCCTGCACAGTTCGTCACCTAACTTCGACTCAACAACCGTCACAACCAGCAACATTGTGCCAGACTAGCTTAGAAGCTGGATGCTTTGTTATGGCTTCCGACGTCTCAGTTACTGACAGTAAGTCCGATGAACAAACTGCACGGCAAACAGGGGCCTGGCAGCTCGGGCAGCCCATCGACAGCTTTGCATCCATTGGCCTGGGGTCAGCTCCTCGCCAGCACCTCCGAATCAGCTTCTTGCTGCATTGCATCTTCTGAGTCTCGGCGACAGGGACCAATAAGGGACACACGAAACAAGCCCGCCGGACCGTTGAAGGCAGCTTGGAGCATCTGCTCCCACTCGCTCTGACGAAGGTTCGCATCGAAGTGGTCAAGGCAAAACCTGCTGGAACCGACTCTCCGGGCCACAAGTACGCTGCAGCGCAAACCCTCAGCAGACTGCACTCTTTAGCGTCCATCGACACATTCGAGATTGCCGAAGCGACGGCGCCGGCCTCTGGGCTTCAGCACGACAGGCCTCTATGGGTGCCGAGCCACGCTGGCTCAGCTTCCTGGAACGAGATCGGTCTTGGACCAACTAGATCAACTAGCACAGAATCCAGCAAAGGACACCTTGGCTTCTCATTCTGCCGACAAGCGGCGTGAAGATCCTTAAAAGAGTTGCATTGGAGACACACCTCTCCCTCATCGTCTGGAGGAACTCTCGGAAGGTCGGATCCGTTCGCATGTCCGCACTCGCCGGCAGCGCAATCTCCCCTCCTTCAACCTGCCGTGTCGACGGAAGGCCGAAAAGTGATAAGCTCCCTGTAAGGCGCTGAGAAGCTTAGTCCCAGCCCAAGCTAAGCCACAGGCCTTGCCTTTTGGAGGAAGGGCATGGCATCGAGCACCAGGTCGGTGACTTCACAGTTTTCCTTGGCGCGGAAGCAAAGGAATGTGAGTCTTCCTGAGTCTGAGACACGGAAGACCTGCGTGGATTGTTCGGTGTAAGGCAAGCTCCGCGAGAAAATCTCTCAGGCAGCTAGAATCGGGGTCGCCATTCCGCTGAATCTCCAATAAGATACGGAAGAGCCGTGCGTACTCGTACTCCTCTGAAGCCTCCAAGTCTTCGATGACGGCTGCAGGATTCAAAACCTCAGAGGCTTTGTCAGGGAGGCAAATGGCCGGTCGCACATCGCTTGAGCTGAGGTGCAGATCTTCGGCGACCTCCTCAGCGTCAGACAAGCGGGCATGTGAATGCAGGCGAAGCTTGAACAAAATGTAGCTTTGAAGAAAGATGCTTGTAATCCAAAGCCTCCGCCCCAGCCCAAGCGGTCAAGGTTACCACAGGTGTTCCCCGACTCCCTTACCCCTGGCCCACCTGGCTTTATCTGGGACAATTCACACCCTCTCCCCCCCGCCTCCCCCGTCCCCCATGGCACGGTGTAATAGGGTCTGTTTGAACACGCGCGAGGTGGCCTCCAACTAGCAGGTAACTAGCACTAACAACAACAGCAACAACAACAACAACAACAACAACAACAACAGCAGCAGCAGCAGCAGCAACAACAACAACGACAGCAGAAACAGCAACAGCAGAAACAACGATACTACTACTACTACTACTACTACTACTACTACTACGACTACTACTACGACGTAAGTAAGGGGGTGGGTGGGTGGGGTCGGCAGGTGGGCAGGTCGTTAGGTCGGGAGGTGGTTCGATGGGCAGCCCT